ATGTGCTTGTCTGTCGCTCTTATTATGACAATAGGGTCACATTTACGAGGCTCGGCATAAAGGTAGGAAGGCATGGGAAACGGAAGGCCTGTGTTAGAAGCAAATTAGCTACATTCCGTTTCAAAATGCATTCTGCCCACTTCTTGATCTTACCTTTGTGCCTCACCCTGGGAATAGGTGCTTTTCACGCTAAAATCACCAGGAGAGCTTTAGTGGATGTCAACAGACAGGCTCCACCTCCCGACCGGTTAAATCGCAACATCTGGGAAAGGGGCCTAGGCATGCATGTTTTTTAAAAGTTTCTCCCAGTGATTATAATACGTATTCAGGAATGGTAACTACTGCCCAGGAAGGTTTAGAGGGGGAGGGTGCTGGCTGTGTAGTTAGAACTGGATTCAAATCCTAGCTTTGCTAGTCACCAGCTGTGTGCCTTTGGGCAAATTACTTAACCCCTCTGAACTTTGGTTTCCTCACCTGGAAAATGGAGATAATAATTCCTAGCTCAGGGGCCAGCAGGTTGAGTGGTGGTTAAGGTGCTGGACTCCCATGTAGCCGACCATGGTTTCAGTCCTGGATCTGGCAGCTTACTTTCTCACTTTCCTCTTTGCTCTCTCTCTCTCTGGTCTAAGTAAAATAATAATAATAAATAAAATGAAATAAATAAGTAATTCTTTTTTTTAAAAAAAAAATAGAGTTGTCGGAAGAGTCATGATACATTTTTGCATAGAAAGACAGAAAAATACTTCATGACTTTCCCAACAAGCCAATAGTTCCTAGCTCAAACGGGTGTCAGGATTCAATACGATAATACAGGGAGGCATTTAGCGGTATGCTTTGGAGCAGTTAACTTGGTGCTTAGTAAGGACTCGATAGACAGGAGGTATTGCTATTAGTGCTATTGTTATCTTTAACTCAGAATGAGTTTCCATTGGTAGGAACAGGAGTCGCCACCAGGGGTGGTGTTCCCAGAATTCAGCCTTTGCTAGCATGATAACTAAACCACAGGAAACACTACTCAATACGAGCACATGCGTAATTAGGCTCCATGGCCCTGGGGACCTAGGGGAACGCTAGTCGGGTCTTTTTACGTTCTGTCCTTGCTTAGCGGTGCCAGTGAGAAATTTAGATTTGGATCAAGACAGTATCTCCTGAGATAGGTATCAGGACTGTGTGTGTGTGTGTGTGTGTGTGTGTGTGTGTGTGTGTGTGTGTGTGTGTGTGTGTATAGACTTCAAAAAGTTCATGAAAGGGCCAGCAGGTGGCGTACTGGCTACAGTGCTGGACTCTCACGTGGCCAACCACAGTTTGAGCCCGGACCCTGCGGCTTGAAACACACTGGGTGCGTGTGAGTGTGTGCCCAAAATCCTGAGAGGAGAATGGAGGAGAAGGGACTGCAGTGCGGCCATCCTTCCCCAGGGGTAATTTCTTGCTTTCTGTCTTTCTGTCTCTCTGATGAGCATACGCACCCTATAGCAAAAATCTCTCAGAAAAAGAAAGTTTATGGAAAGCATATATTATGAGAAGTTATGAATGGAGTTCTATTGTTTTTGGTAGTAAAATACATTTGTGCTTTAATTCCATTTTCCGAGAAGTTTTTGAAGTCCTCTCAGATGGCTATACTAACACACACATACACCTGTATATTTTGTAATTTCTTTCCCACACCCTGGACGCCTTTAAGGTAAATTCCTTTAGAGCACGAAGTCTGTGGGCCTGTGAGCATCTACATCGTTGGAATCTGTAGTTGTATAATTGAATCTTTCTGTTAAAACCCGAATCTAGGGCACAACTGGCACTGGCTGACCGATCTCAGCAACCTAAAGGATCACCCCTTAGGTGGCCGCCCTTGGGGGCTCCTCTCTGGCAGTCTTTCTCCCTTTCTCTGAGCTCCCGAATCTTTGCAAGCTGTTACCCACTTGGTTGACTATACATGTATTACAGCCCTCCAAACTCCTCCAGCTTTTGACCTTTTGCTGAAATAAGACAAACACGATGAACAATAAATACTTTTCTCTGAAAAACATTAGGAAAGTCAGTCATCTACAAAAGAGCAACGCTAAAGGATGTGGCAACAGAGCAGATACCCTTGTGGTGAAGATCAGTTAGCAGATGTATTCATTAGGAATCAGTTTACCCTTCCAGAAGCTTCCTGGAGACAGAGACCAAATCCTGTGTGCCTAGCCTGGTGTCCTTTGCCTGTTGTGGTGCAGACATACAGCTCCTGCTTTCTGCTGGACCTTCAAAAGTAATGGCTTGGGAACCAGCAGTTAACGTAATGGCTATGTCGTTGGACTCCCACATAGTCAACCGTGGTTCACGTCCCGGACCCGGTGGCTTAAAACTCACGCCGGGCGTGTATGCGTGCGTGCCCAAGATCCCTAGAGGAGAAGGGACTGCGGCGTGATCATCCCCCCTGGGGGGTGATTTCTCACTTTCTGTCTCTACGTCTCTCTCTGTCTGTCTGGCGAGCGCACGCGCCCTATAGCGAAAACCTCTCAAAAAAAAAAAAAAAAAAAAAGTAATGGCTTGTTTCTTGGAACTAAAGCTTTGACCTTTCCTTAGCATCTGGTCTCAAAGGTTAAACAAGTGCATTTGAATGTCATACACCACAGTCATGCAAATAAATACTCACCCCTTCCCCAAGCTTTTATGCCCATGCCTTTCAGTGGGGTGGGCTTCTCTGCAGAGCCCCAATACGTGCAATCGTGATGCTTCCTCTGAACTTCGACCTTAGCCAGTGCATTCGAAAGCCACGTGGAAGTACGTTTCATGCTTGCTGCAGTTCTGGACTCTGTTCCAAGTGTGTGAATAATTGGAGTGAACGTTGTAAGTGTTTATGGGAGACGTGGCTCTCGATGGGAAGAATGTATTTGAGAAATGTTGGACTAGATCAAAGCGCTTCTCACTCAGCCTGCAGAAATTCCAGTTGGCTTCTTCAGCCCTACACCCTTAAACATAAACAGTCCATAAGACGTGCATTGTTTTGTGTTTTGTTTCTTTCTTCAACACTTGGGGGCCTCGATGCTGGTTACGAGAAAGTCTCAAGAATGCTAAGCATTTCCGGTGTGGGGTACTGGGCCAGGGACATCAAAGGTTCTGCTTGTAGCAGTGTGAGTACAGAGTGACATCTTGTTCCCCCCACACCCTCCCCTCGTAATTGTTTTTGTTATTCATCCCGGCCAAACACAGGGAGGTTGCATGACCACAGTAAGTGTGAGCTGCATGCAGCGTTTGCCTTGGAAAGGCTTCGTACACGCTAACTTTGTAGAATCCTTGGCCTCTGGCTCAACCAGGATGAGGGTGGGGTGTGCGTGGGAGTGGTGGGGATGGTCATGGTTAATTCAACGCAACATGGATTCAGGATGTTTCCATAAAACATGACCTCATCTCTTCCAGCCCGCTGGCCATCATTATACTGGTGGTCACTTTTGACATAGTGGTTACAAAAATAAGTCCTTTAATTACCGAAGTGGAAGTTCATAGATTGCACGTAAATTGTTCTTACCTCCCCCTGAGAGGCAAGAGGTTGGAGCTATTATTGACACTGTTTTCACGACATCAGAACCAGTCATTAATTCAAGGAAAAGCAAAGCAAAACCAAACAATAAAATCGATGCCAGCTCAGTTGCTGGGTATTGGGTGGGACAAAGAGCTGAGGAAATTCTCTCTTTTCAAATCATTGTATTTTTTCATCCTGAACAAGATGTCACGCGGATTTGTTCAGCAAAGACTTGTTCAGCCCCTACTGTGTCTCGGGTGCACAAGGCCATTGACATCTTCAGGTGCAAAGACACATGATAAGCCAGCCAATAAACGAACAAGATCATTCAAAGTGGTGAAGGTGTCATGGAGGAAATAAAACGGCAGAATTCAATAGAGTGAGGCAATGTTTATGTATGTGAAGTTCAGTAAAATAAAAGGATGTACTGACAGTTATTAGCTAGTTGGGAGAAAATAGCTGCTTACTAAAGAAGGCCATTCCTTTGCTGGGATTATTGGGAACTCTTGTCTGCTCTCCCAGAGAGTAGCTCTTAGCTGAAGAGAAGCCTCGGGTTGTCCTTGTCAGTGAACCAGCTGCCTTTTTCCGACAGGGGGAAGTCCAGCCAAGCAGACCACCTGGGAAGGAGGGCACCGGGTCCCAGCACTGGCTTACTGGCCTGGCAGAATCCCAGCAAATGTCACCAGCACTGCCTTGTTAAGGTACGAGACCAAACTACCTTGAGATGTTGGGGTTTGAAGCAAGAGAAATCTGCGATGCTTGGGTGGCTGGAGACTTTGGCAAGTTCACTCACCACCTGTGTTCTCCAAGCTTGTCAGATGCTCTCAGCCCTTGGGAGCAGTATGGATTTGCCTTTAAGCGATTCTATGGGCTTGTTAAAGTAGTAGAGACCCCAGCCTTCCTCTGGCGAGATGGCCTGAGTGACGAAGAGATCAGGCTGGGTTCACGCCCTCCAGCATTGAGTACTGGCTGAGTCTGCTGAAGAGGGCAATAGTCTCGTCTTCCCTCTTGGCCTGGGGTAAAGTGATGGGGGAATAGAACATCTGGCCCTAATTATTCCACCTTTGGAATTAGGGCAGGTGTCCCAGCGTGGCTATGAGAAGCCACCGTGTCACTGGCAGTCAGATGGCCCCAAGAAAGGGGTGCAGATGCCCACTTGTATGGGGGAGTAGGAGAAGAGAAATGGGCCCGGCCAGCAGGAAAACAATGAGCCTTTAGGTAAGGACAGTCTCCCCACCTCTGGCAATGAAGCTTCTGCAGTGAGTCTCTGGTGCTCCCCTCGTAGAAAAGGCACCTGCCTATCTCGTATTGAGGCAGATCCAGGGGGTTATCTCCCTGGTGAAGACCCTGGCTGTGCTGTGTCCATCTGACAGCAGCGTCATCACAGCTGTTGAACCGTGGCCTATAGTGGGACTTCTCACTGATTCAGACAGGACTTCCTCTCTGGTTTTGCCCTATCTCCACCAACATGGGGGGAGAGCAGAGCAGCCGGTGCTGCTTCTCGTGCTCAGAGGTTTAGTCTGGCTCAAGGTCAGTGACTAGTTCCAAAGATTCTTCATCTTTAGCCTAACGGGCTCTGGCATAAAGAACACAGCTGAGTTGAGGAAGGCAAACTTCATTAGCACCTTCTAGCATCCCCAGGCGCAGTAGGGAAGGTGGAAAAAAACTCAAGACTCAAGCTTAGGGCGAACCACTCCGATGGCCAAAGCAGGGGATGTGGAGGTGTCCTCCCTGACAGCATGAGAGGCCCCCAGGAACTCTGGGTCAGCCCTGTACAATCAGGAGGGGACAGTGTGCTGTCAGCGGGCACCAGCAGATATGACAATGACAGCACAGCCTGGAATCTGTGAAGGTGGCTGGCTGGGAAGAGGGCCAGGAGGGCTGCTTTTTGTTGAGCTTCCTTGGTGTAATCAGAATGCTCATCGAGGGGGGCCGAGTAGTTGCGGCTAGGCTGCACACGTGCAAGTGAAGCAATTCCTGAGTTACGTCACTGACAACCAAGCAGCCACTTCCCACCGGAGAGCCGTGCTTGCACCTACAAGTGGCTACTGCACCGCGATTCGATGGCATCATCTCATTGGTGTTGTAGGTCCTTAGGATGACAGCTGACCCAGGGTACAGTTTGGTGACCAAAGAAAGTGAGTTTTTGGTACAAGCTAGTATTTGTTTGAGGGCCCCTGGAATTTTACCAGGACGATACTGACATACCATATCATCCTCTTAGGACATATTTTGGTGTTAAATTAGTCCACGTTGCAGCTCACCAGACAGTTTTGCCTCCATGGATTCATCCTCTTGCCATTTCCACACGTGAATCCATGTAAAGCAAATTTGGGTAGCACCTCCTCACTGTCCCAACAGGGAATCCTTCCCACAACTCACTTGGGGCCAGCTGTGTGGTGAGTGGTATTATTACCCGTAATCAAGAAACGAATGTTAAGAATTTATGTTCTTGGGAGCCCAGCCCAGCATCCCTGCCCGGAGTGCTTATCACCTGTTCTAGAACTTTATTCCTCAGAGGGATTAGATCTTCCAGATCAGAGCTAACTCCCTTAAGCCACTGACAGTTATGGCCAGCGTCCCTTAAGCCTATATCCCAGTCACCCTGAGGGATAAGGGACACCAGGGAGTCATCAGGTTGGTAGAAATACTGACATTAGAACAGAAAAGTAAAAGAGGGTGTGTGTGTGGGTTCACACTCATTCCATTGTTTATCTTTTAGAGGTAACCATGGTTCATGGGGAAAATTGATGTATTCAATACATTTCTGTCATGTCCAGCTTTGAATCCATCATTGTCCAGGGTCTGGGGAGATAGTTATGAGCAGCTTGACCAGAAAGTGCCAGACGTTTAGGGGCTCACTCACCGGCAATCACGTCTCCATTCCCACGCTCTCAGGACTTCAGGCATGCATGCACACATGCCCAGCTTGTTTTCAAGCTGCCAGGTCTGGGACTTGAACTATGCAGTCAGCCATATGGGACAGGTGCTTTAACCTCCATGTGACTGGTTGGCTCAAAAGGCCAGCCAGTTATTAAAGTTATAAGGTTAAGGTTATTTTAACCTTAAACTTCATGCAGGGTTTCTCGGCCCTAGTATTGTTGACGTTCTGTGCTGGATAATTCTTTTGGATGGGGACCATCTGGTGCGTTGTGCGAGGTTTCGTAGCATCCTGGCCTTTATGTGTTAGATGCTGGTGCCCACCCTACCCCCACATAGTGCCAGCCAGAATGTCTCTGGGTAGTCCCTTGGGGGGATGGACCCACACTGGTCAGGAATGGCAGCTCGAATATAATTTCTTAGCCACCTGCAAGAAGGCAAGGACCTGCTCTGGTCTGAGCTGGGAGACCCCATCTCTGCTCAGAACCAAGGACCAGTCTTTTGGGGGATGAACTGGGACTAGTATGAGGTCCCAAGGGCTTGAAATGATCTATTGAAAACAGCTAACATTGCTGGGTGGCCAGGAGAGGTGATGCCCCCTGGGCTACCTCGGTGCTCTCTTCGGATGACTGATGCTGAATTACGTGAGGGCCATTCGGCTGGGTCTGTCCTGACTTGAAGCACAAACCAGGTCCTGGAAATAGAGGCTACAAGATGTGATCATATTGGTGTCCTGTGGCTTCAGTGTCACCCACTGGGCAGGGTCTAACCACATGGCCCCTTTCAAGGTCTCTCCCTCTTCCCTGGATCTGGCAGTGGGTTGTGGGAGACAGGGAGCACACGTACTCCTGGCCGCTCTCTCTGCTCTGCAACAGATGTGCAGTTTATTATTTGTAGGGCATTTCCTGGCACTCTGGTATGGCCCTTCTCCCAGAAATCGGTACTGCTTGGCCAGCTAGCCTTTAAGGAGGACCTGATGGGGGATGCTAGAGACAGCTTCTGTGCTAGTATGACATATATATTTTATATATGTACACACACATACACACACACATACGTGCACACACACACATGTGTGTGTGTGTATATATATATGTGTGTGTGTGTATATATATATATACACACACACACATACATACATACATACATATATATTCAGCTTTTAAAAACAAAGCCTCCAAACTTAAAAGTATGCTGGAATTTAAATCACCAATAATTGATATTTGGTTATCAACCAACTTAAACTTGGGCCCTATCTACTTATTGTATAGAAATATAAGCAGACCAGGGGACCAGCAGGTGGCGTGGTGGTTATGGCACTGGACGACAATCCCACATGGCCAACCACGGTTCGAGTCCCAGATCTGGTGGCTTGCTATCTCACTTTCTCTCCCTTTCTCTTTCTCTGTCTCTCTCTGATAAAATTAAAATAAATCAATGAATAAATAAAATTAAATTAATTTTTAAAAAAAGAAAAAAGAAATATAAGCAGACCAGAACATACCCATTCTGCTAAGTCTAGGCAAGTCCAAAACACAGAGGCCCCAGAAAGAAGTGAGTATGCCTGATTCTCCCAATTTCATCAATCACAAAAAGAGGAGAAAATGTTGTTCCTATCCTTTTTCATTTCAAAGAGAAGAGTACAAATTTCCTCCCCAAACAAAAAAGTATTCTCTTCCTAAAGCAGGACATTATGCTAGATGCTGGGGTAAGGAATTATAAATACATGAATAGACTCTAGGCTGGAAATAAAGATTTTGCAGCATTTAAAATAATCATTACAGCTGTGGGAGAAAGAGAAAAATAGATTCTAAAGTAGGAGAATAGTACCAGGACAGAATGTCAGGGAGTGATTACACAAGCAGTAGGGGGAGGCAATACTTGTAAAAGAACCTTAGAAGAGAGGGAAGGGTGAGGTGAATAAGGTCAGTATTTCTCACTTATTCACCCACAGTTCTTTCCATCAAATGAAAAGTTCTCAAATCGTTTTCTCCCAGCAGATGACAACCATGTGAGCAACTTACTTCTGGGCACATTTACATTTTGACAAATTCCCCTAAACTCTGTTTAGAAGTAAATACTGCAGGGGCCAGCAGGTGGTATAGTGGTTAAGGGACTGGACTCTCAGATGGTCTACTGCAGTTCTAGTACTGGACCTGGTGGCTTGAAACTCATGCTGGGCATGTGTGCTGAAAATCCTGAGAGGAGAATAAAGGAGAAGGAATTGTGACCTGGCCATCCCCAATGAGGGGTGATTTCTTGCTTTCTGTGTGTCTCTCCCTCTTCCCTGGATCTGGCAGTGGGTTGTGGGAGACAGGGAGCACACGTACTCCTGGCCGCTCTCTCTGCTCTGCAACAGATGTGCAGTTTATTATTTGTAGGGCATTTCCTGGCACTCTGGTATGGCCCTTCTCCCAGAAATCGGTACTGCTTGGCCAGCTAGCCTTTAAGGAGGACCTGATGGGGGATGCTAGAGACAGCTTCTGTGCTAGTATGACATATATATTTTATATATGTACACACACATACACACACACATACGTGCACACACACACATGTGTGTGTGTGTATATATATATGTGTGTGTGTGTATATATATATTATATATATATATATATAGTCCACTGTTCCTGGCTTGTAAGTATTTGACTTTAAAGCAGCTTTGGAACAGCCTTGGAGAGATAAAGGCAAAAGGCAGTCTGACCATCTCCCACCCTCCTCTTACCTGCTCCCTTTTCTCCCCAAGGCAGAGCACTGCAATTAGAATTTCTCTTCCCCAGTGTGGGTCTGACCTACCTTGTGTGATAGTAAATCATAAGAC